CAAAGGCTGAAAAATCTTGAAGTCTGTAAGAAATTGGAGGAAGTTTGAGGATTAATTTTTTATGCTTTTTAAGCTAAAAAAAAGTGGGGGTCGTATTATATATGAGATCTTATTATATATGAGATTGTATTATACATGAGATCGTATTATACAGGAATAAAGATGGTATTTAAAAAGCCGGCTCATATTCAGTGTGTCAGTTTGAGCACAGATTAAGTTCTTACTTGAGGGTTCAGGATCTAATTACTGGAGAAAGATGAAATCTGCCGTAGCTTCTTCATCTTGACTCGAGCAGTAATGAGTTCAGCCGACTGAACGTCTCTTATTAGGGAGGAGAAAATAAACACAAATTGTTAAATCCACAAATATTATAATCTGTAACAAGTTTCGCTTTTTTTTTTCTTCCAGCACCGGCAGCAATCCGGGGTCATTCCGAGCCCCCTGGTGAGGAGCGGCAGGCGGTTCTGGGCGTGACCCGGTCCGCTCAGCATCGCTGGAGCACCATCAGCAGCCTGAGCTCGGACAGCGGAGTGGTGGGCCTCGGTGATGAGCGTGAGGAGGAGGACCGCGAGCCCCGCCGTCACCGCAGAGGAGCGGAGGTGGAGCGGGTGGACAGCGGCATCGGTCCYGGCCTGTCCCGCACCTGGAAGAGGCCGTCCGCCTCGCTGAGGGCCTGGGAGGCCCAGAGACCGTGTCCCGACTGCGGGCTGAGGGACGGGGCCACCAAAGAGCTAGGGGAGCGCATGTGCGAACGCTGCACCAAGCTGCGCACCGAGCGCAAGGAGGCCATCCTGGAGTTCCTGAACACGGAGTCGAGTTACGGCGAGGACCTGCGCATCATCAAGGAGGAGTTCTACTGCCCCATGCAGAGTGCAGGGCTCCTGACAGCCGAGCAGCTCACCGTGGTGTTCGGGAACGTTCAGGAGCTGATAGACGTCAACGACCGCTTCACTGAACACCTGCAGGACAGCATCGACCAGGCCTTTGACCAGGTGACCCACACAAACACCTTACACCTGCTGACTCTACTGTGTTATCCTGTCTGCTAATACTGGAGACAGAAACATTCACAGTCACATTTATTTAGTGTTTCCTGCAACTGTTATTGAGTTCACCATGTCTTATTTTCACGAAGGCAGAGCCCCAGCTGTCTCAGGTAAAATAATACTCCATTTATATTACCATATTTTTCGGACTATAAGCCGCACCCGCCATTTTTTAAAAAATCCACGAACATTAACATATAAGCCGCACCGGACTATAAGCCTCACCCCCAACATAAAAAAAAACAGTACACCCAAATTTGCCATCAAAAAGTGAATTCAACATCAAAACATAAAAAGCAAACCTTTAGGAATTAAAGTTRGGAGGAATACGGTTCATTTAACTGACCTTATTTTGGTAGTTTTGTTTAACAGTTTCTGGTCCAACAAAACGTCTCATTCATCTTCCTCCGGCGCTCTGAAACCATCGAAGTCCTCCTCTTCAGTGTCGGAGTTAAACAAGCTGAGAAAAGCTGCGTCACACAGCGGTATCTGTTCAGTGTCGGAGTTAAACAAGCTGAGAAAAGCTGCGTCACACAGCGGTATCTGTTGTCCTCCCGGGGTAATGCTGGCTCTGAAGCTGTGGTGGGAAAGCCCTCCCGCTCCAGCATACGTCACTGCATGGGATTCCTTCCCCGTGGAGTGCAATGAGGAAAAAAAGTCAGCAGCTCTTCACTCGACGTTTATCCACAAACTGGTCCTGGATTAAGCTCCAAAGTTTTTATCAGTCAGATTCCACCGTGAAAAATGTCTGTTTTATCCCCTTTTATGAGTTTTTGGCCATTGACTATCTTTAAATCGCTGCTTCCTGGTCAACAGTCGGCTCTGGAAGCGATCGCTTTTTTTTCTTCTGTTTTTTTTCTTTCTCTTTTTGAAGCGAGTGGTTGAAGCAAATGGAGCATAAGAGCCCCCTGGTGGCTGAAGAAAAAAATCCATGTATAAGC